CAACATGAGTCCACAAAGGCAAGGCGTCCCTTTAACCGATCTCATCAAGCAGGGCAATGGCGGTGTAGCAATGGCATGTGTCTCTACTTTGTTCGGATGACTTGAATTTGACCTGTGCATCTTATCCTTTCAGGTCGGTGATGGCATCAATGACTCACCCGCCCTTGTGGCTGCCACAGTCGGCATCGCCCTCTCCTCAGGGACCTCCGTAGCTATAGAAGCGCCGACATCGTTCTCATGCGTTCTGATCTCCTCGACGTCGTCGCTGCCTATACCTTTCGCGCAGTATCTTCTCGACGATCCGACGAAATCTTGTCTGGGCGTGTATATATAATGTACTTGGGATTCCGCTTGCGATGGGCGTGTTCTTACCCTTTGGGCTGTATATGCATCCGATGCTGGCAGGTGCCGCAATGGCGTTTCTCGTCGGTGAGCGTAGTGACGAGTTCCCTGATGCTGCGATGGTGGCGACGGCCAGTGTTGAGCGTGATGCCCGGGGAGATGGTCCCTGGGGAGACATTGTTCGAGAGCGGGATGAATGTGTTGGATGATATGTGGGATTCGGTGAAGGGATTGGTGAGGAGGCGGAGGGTGGATGAGGGGTATAGCCAGCTTTCGATGGAAATGTCGGATAGTGTTTGAGTAAGATAGGAATAAGTTGGAAGTTCGGTTGTATGTGTACTACTTGATGTTGACTTGATGTATACCTAGTTTTTCTTCGTGTAGTGACTATCGTATTCAAGTTAAATTTATAAGATTCCTGATGTGATAGTGACTCATATTTGTGGGTATTATTTTCGAGTATGTCCCAATCATTTGAGCAGTATCATGTCACAGACTCTTATCATATTCAAGTTTGGCGGCTTGGCAGGTCTGAGGTGGTCGAGCCAAAGTGACCCTAATTGTCACCATGATATCGTTGAACCTGCCCAGCCCGCGAGTGGCCCACGACACACCCTCTGACACGGCGATTCTGACTTCCTTCAGTTTCATACTGGTGAGTACTACGCTATTATGCATTTTTGTGCATCATATTGTTCAACGTGATAACATTCGATGCACATGGCGCTGTCGGCAGATAGGCCGTGAGCGCTAGCTACGGCCGGCCCACCCGGTGACCCTGGAATTTCCGGGTCCATTGACGCAATGTGCTACAAGTTTGTCATTGCCCTTCCCCGATTATCATAGTGTAGTATGAATCTACTCATGCCGGTTTTCTACAAGTATACTTGAAGATATCTAATCCCGAAGCTACGAGTTAGACGCGGGTGCTCTCAAGCCAGAAATAGTATATCTGTTAACCCAATGCTTTGCAGGGTATCAGCTTATCACACTATTAAGGGTTCAAGGTCCATCTGGTACCAGCCGCCACACGTTCCTGCGCACCTGAAAGGAGTCATCGTCAACTTACGAAAGGTATGATCAATTATTCTCATTTAGTACGAGTTCCTCGGGGTAACAACTTATTGCCTGCTTCTTCTGTTGACCTCCACAACCTTGTTCACTACAGATGTTTCGGATCCCAGATGGACAATCCTCTGTGGAGGTAAACCTTGTTCCTTGTACACGATACATGACCTGACATATAAATTGAATCGCAGAGTTTTTATACCGCACGGGGTGACGGAGAAGACGACCTTCCACCTGGAAACGTGAGCAAACAGCAAGTCAAGCAGGCGATTCAAGATATCGCAGATTCAATACTTCGTGACATGCCCCTTCGGTTGCTGAATACCGAAGATGGAAAAATCTATGCTCGCTCCGCTCTCATCACGAAATTCGAAGAGTCGAATATATTTCGCTGGCTTCTCCACCTCACAACCACCAGGTCTGCTCTGGAAGAAAAGCAGTACATCCTTAAAGTGGTCAAACCCTTCTTTGAATATACCATGCTCTCTCACAGGTGGGAGGGCGACGAACCTGGCTTCAAAGATATCCCGCAAGAGGGGGTCTATACACTTTCTACATCGAGATTCGACAAAGTTCGTAATCTCTGCGATAAGGCGCGCAGTCGTGGATTTCGCTGGACGTGGATCGACACATGCTGCATTGATCAGGGGAGCAGCGCCGAAGTACAGAAGTCCATCTCGTCCATGTTCTCATGGTATCGCGGGTCGGCACTGACGATCATCTACCTCTCTGATGTCGTGGAATCCAGCAGTCAGGCACTTTTACTGAGCGAGTGGTTCCGGAGAGGCTGGACTCTTCAGGAGCTGCTTGCCGCCAAGGTCATTCGGCTCTACAAGAAGGACTGGACTCCATTTTCCCCAGAATCCAACCACAAGAACGTTGCTGAGATCCTGGTTGCGTTAGAATCTGCAACTGGGATACAGAAAAGTTACCTCAAGTTCTATTCCCCAAGTGTCGAGCACCCTCGAATGAAGCTCAGATGGGCTCAGAATAGAGTGACCAAGGAGAAGGAAGACGAAGCGTATTGCTTGATGGGAATCTTCGGATTCACTATGTCAGTTACCTACGGAGAAGGTGATCAGGCATTCTCTCGACTTTTGATGGAGATCATGAGGCGCACGGGAGATGCGACTCTCCTCGACTGGATTGGGCAGCCTTCCACTTTGAACACTTGCCTTCCTTCCTCCCCGAGTTGTTTCTCGAACGCTCCTTTCGCAACTATGGAAATGTGTTTCGACACCCTCCCTCATCCTGTTTTGAGCTTTGCGTTGGCTGCTAAGGTCGTCTATGTGTTTAAAAAGGCTATCCGCAGGGCAAGAAAGTGAGATTTTTTTCAATTTAAGTGCGTGTTTGTGCTCATATGTATTATGTTCAGCTCGTCTCGTGTCCGGAATGGTCACAACACAGGTCAGGAGCTAAGCGTTGAGATGTCTGACGACGATGGCGCACCACACATTGCAAAGACCACAAGTAGTCAGAGCATTTTTCTGCTCGGACGATCTACAAGCTTTCCGTTTGAAGGGAGCGAGATGATACCCCTTGCCAGACTGCTTGAGAAGCCCCCACGGCCATACACTCTTAACGCTGAAATTCACATCACTGTGCCGTGCTTTGTGCATGAAGTACTGTCGCTTTACTTCACACCGGTCTCGGGGTCATACTCTTGTTGTGCAGACGGCATCCGACCATTCAGTCTTGTCACCTCCGAGAATTTGGAAATATTTACACCTGACCGCCATTCCTCATCTCGTTATCTGCTGGCACGAACCTGGGATCCACGACTGTCTTATGACTCTTCGCATGTATACCACATTACCATGCCGCTGCTTCGTCAACGACTCAAGAACCAATTCTTTGCGATCCTGCTAGAACGTCTTCGCGATGGCCGGTTCAGAAGAGTATCCACAGGAGAACGTATTGTTGCGGAGCTTGAGCGATTTTCCCCGCAAACGTACGGAGTACGGTTTCTTCATCTTCAGTGATACAATGATGTGTTATATCCCTTGGCGCGTCGCCAAAGTCTTCGCATACATGAATTATTCTGGTATATCCAAGCCAAGCATTATCTTTAAGATTCATAAACTGATACATAACTTAACATTTCACCGAAACCTCACTCTGTTCACTGCATCATTACTGACATACATAAGATATTATCAGTTCGCCTGGAAGCCGCATTTATCATGTTTATCATTTGTACGATACAACTACGATATTTTGTAGTTAGCGAGTACACTGGACATTCGACCGCTTTTACTTACATGTGTGAATTACGAGTGTCATGAGGCGCTATCTGGGCCCTGGCGCCGCATCTGCCCCCCGGAAAACCTGATCACAGATAGTAACTAGCAAGTGCGCGCGGCTTCAAGGAGAAAGGCACGAGGCTTTCCGAGTCTGGTCCCTTTTCTAGTAGGCCACCTAGTAGATCGTTCCAATAACGAACAACTTCACTACGAGACGTATTAAGATACAAGGGTAATATCTCACGATTAACGGTATTCTGTCTCCATGTCAGCCATTGGAAGTGTATTCCTGGGAGATTTCCAGCGACATCGTATAATATCTTCCACACCTCCACCGTCATCACCTCCGCCCAGCCAACTTGGACATCAAATGAGTGTTGGATCTGTTTCGCAATCCCTCGAGGAACTCGTAGAACCTTTGGATGATGCCCAGTCAGAGCTGTCTGATGAACAGCCGACTCCGGCTGCTGTGATGCCTTTAGCACAACTCGAACCATCAACCGCGCCTCCCGTCATAGATCCCGTCCTATCGCTGGAGCTGAGACTCCGCTGGCTGGAAGCGCTGATTCTAGGCGTGCGGCAGGATGCGCGGGATCGTAAAGGAAAGGACAAAGTACCAGAGCTCAAGCGCGGTGAAACCCTCATTCGCTTAGCCGAGGACGTACAACAGCGCCTCGACAACGTCATACAATCCAACGACGGTCTTCAGAGATTCATGAGCAAATGTAAGGTCATCAAAACACGTCTTTCGTCACGTTTCTGACGCGTCCATCCCCTACTATAGATGACCTACACGCCCATCTACTAACTGCAGCATTTGCTCTGTCAGGGGTGCTCCCTGGGCCAGCCCCGGCATACGAAAACATGTCCCCAGAAGAACTTGAAGCGCTCCTGGTAGAGATGGAACCAGAAATTCGAGCTGCAGATAGGGACATGCGCGAGATCGAAATGCTAGAACAGAAAGGCGTGACAGCAGCTGGAAGACTCGCAGGTCTGTCGTGCAGACCCATACTGATCGTTCACCAAGATTCTCATTTCCGATTGTCTCTAGACTATGAAACCTTGCAGCCTCGTTTGGACGCGCTTTTGGAAGCGCATCAGGAGGATATTAGATTGGCTGCGTCGTTAGAGAAACGAATAGCAGCTCTTGTCGACAGACATGCTACTCATGTGCGTATTCGTTCGTACATCTTCAACCGGTTTTCACAATTTGACTTGTTCTTTTAGGTGGATGCGCTCTCCGAACTTTTCGTGGCATGGGATGACGTCCTCACAGAAACCGAAAATAAAGTCACAAAACTCGAACGTGATCGCGAAGAGCGCCAACGACTAGGTTATGAATAAACACTAACAGCCCACCTCCACGCCATGATAATTCCATCATACATAGGTACTTTACGCTCATTATAATGAACAGGAGAATGATGATAAAAAAGCTTTATTCCTTCCTACATAATCAAACAACTACATTACTCCCACCTCTTGGGCCAGGAATAAAAGAAAAGTGGGAGTGGATATATAATGAGAAGTCACAGTTAAGTAAATAACACGCGGAAATAAAAATTTAGGAACATCCAGGAAGAGAGGATTCATAAAGCGCATCCCTCGACATAAAGACGAGACTGCGGGAGGTTACATTAAGAGGGTCCGGAGCTGGGTGATACTTAAGGACAAGGACAAGGACAAGGAAGGACAGTGACACAAGGGAAGGAGCGTAATGAGGTTGAAACCACGCTGGCATAACAGAACGAGAAAGCATGAACACAAATGAGATAGGGTAGCCAGCCGAGGGACATAATAAAGAAGAGAAGAGAAAGAGATGATGTCTTGGGGCAGGGGTATCAGTCGCGCGCTACCCAATCGGTACTCCGAGAAACCAGTTCTATGGAGTTGTCAATGGTCCAGAACAGGCGTTCTGTGGCACTGCGTCCACTCCAACTTTTCTGGTCGCGCAATATCATAGCCTATAATCGTGGCCCACAGTCAGTCCTACTTGTTAGATCGTCAAAAAAACATACACGCACCTGCTGTGCACCAAAATTCCGCTGGTCATGTGCAAACAGCTCGACATTTTCTTCTAAAGCCTCTGCCAAAATCTGAAGGTCTTGGAGTATAGCCTGCATCGCACGCACCGCAGCAAGAGTGAGGACATCCTTGCGGTTGCGCATCGTCGTGCCTTCGGTATTGGGCGGAGGAAGTGTTTTGGAGATGCTCTGCAGCACAGTGTGCAAGATGCGTTTGGTCTCGTTCATGATCTTCTGGGCTTGAGGGTAGTTCTTCCTCGAAACGAGGACAAGAGCGCGCGTGATCATGTCAGATGCGAGAAGTTCCATTCTGCGCCGGACGATTACTGGATCTGATGGTTTGACTGGCTTGGGAGAGATAGTGGTAGCTTGAGGAAGGAGAGTGATCGTCAAGAGGACGGGATGGGCGAGGCGTGAAATTTGTTTCGATGCGCTGGGATCATAGAAAGACCCGTCAACCTCGAACACCGGAACCTCATCAATCATCCGGTCCATCATGCCATCCACAAGATCAGTACCATCGTCAATGGTCGTAGAATCAAGACCCATGCTCTGCACGAACTGATCTGTGGCATTGAGCGCGCGATTACTGTTCTGCGCAGAAGGACGGCGAATCTCAGTATTGTCGAGCTCACACTCGATAAGCATCTCTTTGCATTCGCCATAGCGAAGCTCGCCAACGTCAATGTCAACGTTGTGGCCATCTGTAGAGAGGATGGATGAAGGCCCACCCGAGACCTTGCGAATGCGGAAGCGCTGACCGTCGACGATCTTCATGTGCAGCTTCATGTTGAGTAGGCCAATGGACATCATGCCGCCGACACAGCCAGCAAGACAGCTACGGAGGTCATACCAGTCCTTGACAAAGGTGTATGTCCCGCTGGTGTGGTTCGACATCAGCCAAAGCGAAGCAGGGTCGTGGGAGCGACCATAGCCAAACGAGTGAATGGGCATATTTGCAGCTTCGGCACGGGCAAGAACAAGATCCATCTGTGCACGTCGCGTGCTATCAGCAGCATCGCTCACCAAGACCATCCCCGAGATAGGATTGCGAGTTTTGCGCTGAAGTACAACATCGAGACCTTCAAGACATGTGGTCAGCAGAAAGTAAAAATGAAAAACTGACCACTAACCATGGTTAACCGCAGTCACAACGTCCGTCTTTTCCTCTTTGGATGCTCTCACCAAGAACTCGTCGTCTTGTCCCCCATCCGGACGTCCAATTTCATCAATGAATTTGGATAGCCTTCCTCGGCTGAGCGCCTTACCAACGCAAAGGTACGGTGTTTTGCGCACACGCCCGCCAGGTCCTACTTCAAAAGTTACAAGACTCAAACGGTCCTTGGTTCCGAGAGAAGCGAGGATAAAGTCCAGTGATGCCTTGATGACCCGCAGCTTAAGCGCCGCAGTGCTGCGGGCAGCACTCGGTGGAGGAAGCGACACGATAAGAATGAGATCAATTGCCGTATGTGGGAGGGGAGCAAGTGAATTGGAGGGTCCAGTAGATACATGTGGTGCGACCAAGCCTGAAGGATGCGTCTCATAGTGCGAAAGTACATCCTCCTCACCGAGGGGTTGGAGTTTGGTTTGCATTTGTCTAGATTGAGGTTGCGGCGTGGAACCATGGGAGGTCGACGAGGACATGGTGGAGCGTGAGGAGCCATGGAGTAAACTATCGACTGTACTTGGTGATGTGGACGCAGTGCTCCCGCTAAGCATCCGCGCAGCCTTTCCGGAATCTCCGAACTCATCCATGTCCAGGCCACGGTCGATGGACGGCTGCGGCGGCGATGCTTGATTTTGAAAGGCATTTACCAGGCCCTGGATCTGACTCTTCCACGCATCCATGGAAGAGCGATCTTTGAAAACGAGGATGAAGGAGTCGAGTCGCTCATCTTCCATTTCAATGGTGATGCTCATTTCCCCGCTTGTGCTCGCGGTAATACGCTTGATATGTCGTACATAAATGCGACCCTTGAGGCGCAGGACACCCTTGTTGGACTGGTTGTTGCTCAACCCTGACACGGAAGTCGAGGCATCGTTGAAGGCTGGGGACGACAGGAACCGGCCAAGAGACCGCTTTTTCTCCTCTACAACGCAAATGATGGCCTCCTTAAAGAGGTACACGAAAAACTCCCGCACAAGGGCATCTCGGCGGACGGACAGCATGTCATACATTTGCAGGGGGCCAAGGCCAGACAATGCGTGGCCCTTCCAATCTATTATCCGGTTGCGCAAATCCTCAACGATAGCATTGAAAGGTGATGATTCTTCACCCTCTTCCTCCGCTGGTGGGCCTGGTCTATAATAGGAAGACTCGGCATTGGTAGATGACCATGGCTCGGTATATGAATCATAACGCTGAGTTTGGGATGGATGTCGCAAGGTATCATTTTGTCTTTGGGATGGATGAGGCAGCTCTGTTACGGTATCATTTCGTGTGAGCGTATGAGCACTGTGAGAACTGTATGCATCAGCCATGACGGGACCTGGAACATGAGCCGTTCCACGCCTGGCAGGTAACTCGATTACAACAATGCAGGTCAAAGGTTGACAAGTTTCGCCATTCCGAGTGATAGAAGAAAATTCGGGGCGGACTTGGATAGAAGGTGCGACGATATAGTGTGATTCGCTGGGGGTTGATTTGACTGAGACGGCGTGGTCTATTGGATCGTCATCTGTGGGGTCATAGGGTTGTTGAGGTACTGGGCTGTGGCGAGAGCGTGAGCCTTGATCCCGCCCAGGATATACGGCAGGGTTATGAGGATTGCCCATGCCAGTCAGAGCGGCGAGTTCTGTAGCATAGTGAAATTAATGAATAATTTGTGTCTAGCGTGACTCACTATTGTTTCTGCTACTGTCTCCGTCGCCAATTTTCATGGGTCGTCTGCAAACACCGCAGACGCCAAGATTTGATTTGCGAGGCACTGCAGAGCGAGATTGGGCTGGAGGAGGGCCATATACAGCGGTAAAGCATGCCTATGGTAAGACGAACGGGAGTGTGATGGACTGAGATGCTACGATAAGAAAAGAACTGACCTCATGAAGCGAGTGACCACACTCTGGTACTACATGGGGCTTTTCTCCGGGAAGTCTGAAGCTGAAGCTCAAGGGTTCCAGGCATACAGGACATTCTTGTTCGTCATCGACATGTTCATTGTTTGATACAACAGGTAAAGGAGGCATTGCGGCGTATGGATGAGGGCTGTGACTATCTGTGGCGGATGCGTTGGAAGCTGAATAGGAAGAGCGGAGAGAATTCGAGGATAGCGAGCGATCCGGTGGTTTGCGCTGGAAAACGGATTGTAAACCTCTAAATGCAGAACTCTTGGTAGGTTTTGGTAAATTCGTCGGGAGTGGATAAGCAGAAGTAGGAGAGAGATGATGATGATGATGTGAGTGATGGAGGTCCAAAGTTGGATGGCCAATTAATTGATTGCGCGGAGACCGGGCTGACGAAGGGGACGCTGGTGGTTGCTTCATTACGGTTAGAGAGTGTGTGTATCGTCGTCAAAGACAGCGAGCTCGACGTTGTCGTCGACAAGTGATGCTAAAGTAGCGCTGGAAGGAGAAAGAGAGGGTATAACTTGGGTATGACCGTTTGGTATGAGTCGATGTCGTGACTGTTGACGTTCAAAGACCCTTTCTCGACTGTCGGCGCCGAAGCCTTACTCGTTTCCTTCGTTGACGGGACTAAACGTACAGCTAAGCCTAGGCTAGTAATCAAATTTTTTACTTTTGAGTCCCATCTTTCGGCATTTGTTTCTACGTTATCCGAATTTCATGCAACACCCTTGTGTCCTTGTGTTTAGCGCAAACTGTGCTCGGCCCCACAAGCTGCTGCGCAATGTCTTAACTGCTACACAATACAAGCCAGACGATTATTACAAGTTTCCTCATCAATCGTCGATACCAGCGATGCTTGAAGCTGTGGCATAGGTCCATATAGGTCCCCTTGAATTTTAATAACTTAACCGCGAGACTTTTTCATTTCTCACCCTGGACCAGGCTTCGCATCCGATACAGCGTGTGAATCTCAATGTATCTTTGTATTTCTGGAAAACTTCATTCGCTCAAACATACATCGACCTCGGATATAAACATTTTGGGGTGCAGGGGAGACTGGGTAAGGGAGACTAGTACAGATTTACCCACGCGGCTCAAGGCAAGAAAGAAGTGTGTCCAAGCTCACGTACGAACCTGCGGTAGAACCTCAGGGCTTCGAATCGCTTCCATTTTCTTGAATCGAGACTGTTTTGCAACGTGGAGGAAGAGACAGAATTTCCAAAAGACGTCGACTTGGCGATGGGCGATCGAGTTGGTTTCACTAATTTCTATGTAGTCATGAGGACGCAAATTTGGAAGGAATCATCTACAGCTCACCTCTTGAAAACGCATAGATCAACATTAAGACGGGACGTATCGGGTTATGGAATTCGTCATGAGTCTTATTATTTTATCCAGCCTCGGACCGCTAGTGAAAGTTGAACAGTTAACTTGTGCATGAGAAAGACATAGACACTGACTAGTAAGCTGCCGGAAGTCACCGCCAGATACTAGTACTATGCATATGCCTGTGACTTGTGTGGGAGATTAAACAGACTTGGGATGTATGGTATACCATCCTTATACACTGCAGTGCATGTATGCAGTATACTACGCTGGGATCGAGCAGGAAATCACGATTTACCTTGCGAAGCAGGTCTTTGCATTGCTCTGGAATGCAAAGACGGGGCACAAGGATAACGTGATAGCGCTATGTACTGTGGGAGAGGGATAGGATTGGAATATCGATGCATGATGTGGCATCGGCGGCGGCATCCTTTATATACCGCAAGTACTCATGCTGCCATGCATGCATGTGGTGTCAATCAGTGAATCATCTTGCGACTCAAAGCTGTGTTTGTCGGAAACAAACAATGCGTTTTCCGAGTCCCGATTTGATCCGAATGACGTGGCCTCTGGCACAATAGACGTCATCGAATTTCTATTGTCTAATTGAGCCTTTTATGCGCACCGCCCATCTGTCCAAGTACTGATTCATACAACCTTATCATGGGAGGCCTTGGACATGCTGACTGAAAGGATATTCTCCAAGCTGAAGGTTGCTCGTGCGAGTTTCGATAATCTCACCGGCATAGCAAATTGTTCACAATAAAACAGTGATTGCCCAATCGCATGCAGCACCTTGGTTTGGGGAAGTGAGAGGATCCCCTACTCCTGAGATCCTCTTGAATTAGCATCGCAGGTGTCTACAAAACGAGTGCACCGGGTAGCTTCTACTTCTACTTCTACATTGACACTTGTCCAAGTTCCGCGGCAGGTTTCTCGAGGAGATGAGCCTCCTCAGAATTTCCGCACTCGAGTCTGCGTGTTCACTGTTTTCCATGTCACCAGCTAAGTTCGAAGTGAAGGTGCTTCCGGGGCGAGTGTGCAGTTCATTGAAGTGTGAGCTTACATGAAACCCACTTAGATGAACGTTTGATTCTTCGCCTCATACCTCCTTTAACATGTGTTTTTTCACTCAATGAATTGCAGGAGATCGCAGGTCGTCAACGTTTAGCACAGACAGCCATATGACGACTCACCTATATGGTATCTGCTGACTTCTTAGGTTCATTGGGAACTCATTTCTCCAAGTCAAGCTCGTCATAACCTCAGGCAATCAGTCCAAGAATATGCCAAGGTATTTTCAGCTGCAATTCCATCCGCGGTGTCCAGCTTCGAGTGGAAAATTATGTCCGTCGTGATTTTAACAACTACTTACGTCTCACGGTCTGCCAGTGAGTGATTTGATTAACGATTCATGTGATGCTCTCACAATGGCGAAAGAGGAGCACCAAAAATACAATCATAATATCGCTACAGGACAAGGAAGATGCAGATACAGTGAACCTCCGGCCAACTTGGGTAATGCTACAGTGATAGACAAAGATTAGGTCGTCAGAATAATAGTCCATCGGAAAAGGTATGAATATTGAGGAGGAGCCCTGCAGATAACTTGCTAGTGATGTTCATCGCTGCCGTCAGCGGGCTTAGCATCTACTCATGCCTTAGAATCAAACTCGACACAACGGTATGAAAAACGTACCAGTATCTCCCGTGCAGTACGCTCACCATCGCCGATCAGCAGGGTGCATCCAATCTCGTCGATGAAATGCTGTTTTTTCTTAATATCAAGACTGAGTGGAGGTGGTGCTTTGCGTCTCAATCGCTGAAGCCCCACTGCCTTCTCGAGAACGCCAGCCTTAACTTCAGGCTCTACGAGCCCCTCGTGCAGAATAGCCGGCGGTGTGCAGGCTGTTTGAATATCATAATCTTCTCGAGTCGGCGTCAAGATCATGGAACTGTCTGTGCTTCCCGACTCTATCGGTGAAGCGTCATAGATGGCACCAGGGACAATATTTTCATCAGCATACTCTGCTGCCTCACCCCAGCCCCTCTCCTCGACCTCTCTTCGGTAGGCTGCCAAATCGGGCGGCCAGGTAAACACCAACCGTGCTTGCAGTTCCTCGAACTCCGCGTCATCGTATTCGGTTATGGCGATATTTTTCCAAGGTTTGTGTGAGTGTCGGGACCGTACTGATTTAGCAGCAGCATCATGTATCTCATGCACGGCGGGCACTTTGGCGCTAATACGAGGACGCGCGGGTGTAGGTGGCGTGGCCTTTTGACACTCTATAGGTGCGTCCGGGTTAAACTTGATAACACGAGAGCAAGGACGAGACATCCAAGAACAGTTGAAGAATGCATGAAAGTGATATTCGCGTAACTGGGTAGGCTGTTTGTGCATCGAGTTTATCGAGATGTCACAGCATTTTGTCCGCAGCCGAGGGATGGGTTTTACTGGGGCAAAAGGCACGAAGGAGGGATCCGGACCGGCAATGAGATTCAGGAAGAAACCAGATGAGAAATTGATGCTGTTCATTATTCACTTGAAGGGTTGACGTGCGATATGGTTCGATTAGATGGTTTGTGGATTCAAGGAAAGCTGATTGTGGCTTTCGCAGAGTTAGAAAACAGAGGAAAACGATTCGTGATGTCGAGGGTATGCAGATACAACTGGGAGGTATTAAAGCAAGGGAACGACAGAAACAGCGAAGGAACACGAAATGGTAATACAGCTGAGCTTGGTGCTCGTGGCAGATAGTCAAGAACGTTTGATCAAACCTGGATTTATAGCCGAACGGAGTGGCACCAATCAACGCCGAAGGCGGTCTTTGAGTCTTTGTTACTTGGTAACTTGAAGAGGACCTACCAAAGGTCTTTGTGAGACGGACTTCGTGACGCCTTGTGACACGTCGTTTGAGTACTTCTGCTGCTTATGAAGGACAAGGATACGGTATGCTTAAGCCATATGTTTCATGATTGACGCACCAGACCATAGGTGCTGACCCGCGATGATTAGTATTATAATGAAAGATTGCAAATTCACAACAACGAAGAACGATTTATGCATCGCGGTGTGGAATGGAGAGTCAGGCAACAAGACTTCATGCACAATAACACATCCTCATCTTCACGTACTTGAGGTTTGACTCGGATGATGCAATGAGCCCGTTCAAATTTATGTATGTAATGCGAATTTTCGGCAGTCTCCGTCCGGCTGCGTGCGGGTCTGTCCGGATCTGTCTGTCAGCTTCTAACGTCGCATCATATAATGAGCTCATTTTTACGACTCGTTACTGTCTCGAACACATCAATTTAGCAATCTCCCAGCTTGGCCTTGCCTGAAGATTACAAATCCAGATGCCCCCAGCTGGGTTGCAGCTTCACAACCAACATGAGTTCATGGTACCCTGTTATCATTCGGACCTCTCTCGATTCCTTCGAACGATTTCAAACCTTGAGTAAACGAAGTTCGGGCGCCAACCACCACTCTGAGTCGGAAAGACCCCAAACTCTGCTCGATATCTTCCATAAATAGGAAGCTTCAGGTGTGGGCGTCCTAAAAATGTTGTAACCATGCAGGAGTCACCTATGCTGCTATGTAGTAGGGCTGATTAATTCATTCAGTCCGAGCACCACTAAGCGTCGCCAAACCAGGTTCTGAACGGGACTACGACGTGCTTAAACCTTACGGCACGCACGGGCCAATACTACTTGGTGCAGTAAATTATCCGACTGCAAGCAGTCTTAAAGCACATCCTAAATCCCAGTAAGACTCGACCTCATCATTCCTGACCCTCAGCAGACCCAACCCTTATCTAAACTTTGTTTGTCGATGCTTTGGCGGTGCTTGGACCCCAAGTAAACTCTAACTAACTAAATTGAGCCAGCACTGGCATAATGGCACTATGGATTCAACACCTCTCAAACACATGCATCAGTCTGGTGGTCAAAACGGTCATAGTACTACAAAACCCTATTGCTGTGCAGGAATGTGGGAGTTTTATTGCGCAGGAATGGAGAAGAGGTATTTAAAGTGACTTATCGCAGGTTCAGCGATACAGCATGAGTCTATTGAAGATCCCCTTCCTCGTGGCTTCGGCCATTGGTATGCATATCTCGCTCACTTCTCCCTCTCTACCCCCGTCACCTCAAGAGAAGATGGTGCCATCGGCGTCCGAATCATTCATGCAAAGCATGAGTCTAGATCGTTGGCTGCTAGACTTATTCAAGGTGTGTTTCTCCTGTATATCGATTTTGTCTGTACAGATTGGCGGATAATATAACAGATTATCGCATGGGCAGTATCATCTATTGAAGTGGCTAACATACTGGCCGTGCATATGGGTACTTCGCAAATTCCAGATGCTGTCTATGGCGCTAGCGCTCTGCAGTTTTTGCGCGCACTTCACTCCACGCCAATCACTCCCGCTTTCCTTGTTGGTAGTCTCTCTGTCACGGTTGGTGGCATATTCAGGCGTTATTGCATGTCAACCTTGGGAAAGTTCTGGAGCTTCCCGCTTAGCGTCAGAAAGGAGCATAGAATCGTGACAAGCGGGCCCTACTCTATCGTCCGCCACCCAAGCTACACTAGCTACTTTCTACAATACGTCGGGATTGTCATTACGCACGGGAGCGAATGGTCGTGGATGAGGCAGTCTGGAATTCTACAACTGCCTTACATGAAAGCATCAGTAGCGATTGTCCTCCTTGTGCTTACGGCAGGTGTTGCGGTCAGCATCAACCGATCTTCAGTGGAGGACAAGATGCTGCAGCGTGCTCTGGGAGAGGATTGGGAGGATTGGGCCAAGAAAGTGAGATATAAATTGATTCCTGGGATTTATTGATGGTATACGTCCTGAGCGCCTTGATCGTAATTACTTTGTTTGGTGGATGACGATGTCGATTGTACGCTATATGTCATGTAGTGTGCTGCCATCAGCCATCGATATTGCATGTTGAGATGCTCTTTCGTATACACACATCGAAATATCTAGGATGTTGTACCATACAGGTCCTTGTCACTGTAGATAGCTAGCCTCAGTCACGTTACAGTTTTATTGAAGGGGAATCGCTCGCGAACTTGTAAATATTGTGGTGAACTTCTGAAATAATTTGAAAACCCTCCGCGTGATATACAATACCATTTAGGGGGCCGGCCGGGGCCGCGCCACCCGCCCCCACTAATGTTACATAAGTTGTCGGATCCATTTGCAGTCAACCCCCACATCGACACTAGTCTCGCCTGATATACATAGAAGGAAGACAGTCGCTCCTTCTTGATTATTATGCAGGGCCTGCCAGTGAATACGCTATAGCAGGTCGTTCTAGCACAGCTGCCAAATTCCCTTTAAACAGTCTCGGATTAAAGCCTGGATCTACCTAGTAACGAGTCTGATCAGCGTACATGGCGCCTCCTGCCTATATTATGCTCCTCTTCCGTTCAAGGTTTTGCGTAAATATTGTGGCCACCCTCAACTACTTCCCCAACAGCTCGCGCACAACTTCTCGTCCTGAGTGCAGTATTTCACACGTGGTCTTCGTTTCTCATTTGAGAGGCTAAGGCATGCAGTGAGGCATCCAGGTCCACATCTATTCATCTGTAAGCACACTGGGAGTTCCTATAATCTACACGAAGTGACTGTCCACGATACTGAAACACAAGCTTTCAGTGTCACTACCCAGTCTTGACTAGTCGACTACTTACGTCAACTTCTAATATAATTCTATCCTCCCAAGTCGGTTTGGACCCTGAAGTTCCTATGTAGGCCTATCGTCTCTTGTTATTAACGCTATTAGTCGCAGCCTACGTATCTTTCCTCAATAAATTCCGCCTGCGATAACATAAAGATTCCAGGGCCGCCACAACATCTTTGATCGGCCATCAATCACCCTGCCAAACAACTAAATTTGACCACCTTCTTGAACTTTGTATCGTTCCCTCATTTTCTAGGGTGGAGAGCGTGACTTGTATTCGTCATCTGACTCGGACTGCTCTCACTAATATCTCATCGCTCACTGCACGATCTTTGCTCTTCCTCAGCTAGCATGCTGATATTCACCAATGTTACTTGGCTGGACCTACTATGTCTTGCTGGTGCCGGAGTGTATCTGGTCAAGCAGGCATTCAGAAAGAAGAACCTTGCACCATATCCCCCTGGACCTCCGGGGTGGCCTCTCATTGGGAACGTCGCAGACATGCCCCACAACAAGGCCTGGCTCACCTTTGCCAAGTGGCGCAAAAAATATGGTAAGTGCCTTGTGTTTCCCAGCACAATACATTTCAATTTCATGCCATACAGGTGACATCTCGCATGTCGAAGTTCTGGGTCGGCACATCATTGTGCTGAATTCTGTCGAGGCAGCGATGGCATTGCTAGACAAGAAAAGCTCTGTCTACTCTGACCGTCCGGTTCTTACAATGGGTGGTGAACTTGTTGGCTGGAAGTACGCTTTGGGGTTTCTCTCTTATGGTGATCGTTTTCGCTATTACCGCAAGAACATCCACCGCATTATTGGCAGTCGCGCTGCTATGGCTGTCTACGAACCGATTGAGGAGATTGAGACCCGCCGGTTCCTGAAGCGTGTGTTTGCAAAACCTGAGCAATTGCAAGCACATATTCGACAGTATGTGGTGTTTATCATTGCATGAACGGGGCATTGATTTTTTATAGCACCGCTGGCGCTATCATTCTGCGAATCTCTCATGGATATGAGGTTAAGGAGAATAATGATCCCCTCGTCGACCTTGCAGACCGTGCTATGAATCAATTATCGCGGTCCACCGATACTGGTGCCTTCATGGTTGACATCATGCCATGGTGTAAGACTACAGTATTTTAAGATTTACAATGAGCTGACTTATTTCTAGTGGCCAAGGTTCCCGAGTGGTTTCCTGGTGCTGGGTTCAAATGCTTGGCCCGTGAATGGAGCCAGACCCTCGAAGAGTTGGTTGCTGCACCACACAAATTCGTCAAGGATCAGATAGTAAGCAATATCTACAGTTCGTCGATCACGAGTTGAACACATCACAGGCTACCGGAATTTCTCCTGTGTCTTTCACCTCGAATCTGTTGAAAGGCCGAACTTTGTCTGCAGAAGAGGATCACATGGTGAAATGGTCTGCTCTATCCCTATACACCGGTGGTGCCGACACGGTTAGCTCTTCCCTTCATATTACAGATAGATTATTATATTGTGAGACTAATATCTGTCTCCACAGACAGTTTCTACAATTTATTCAATTTTCCTGGCGATGACACTGTTCCCTGATGTGCAGAAGAAGGCTCAGGCTGAAATAGATGCTGTTGTTGGCACTGATCGTCTTCCCTCTTTGGCAGACCGCGACTCCCTCCCCTATATCGAGGCCCTTGTGAAAGAATCCCTGCGCTGGAATGTTGTCATCCCTATGGGTACGTGTTTATTGTATTCTTTTCATTGCCGAGCGGTATCAATCGCCTAAAGATAGGGGTCCCCCACTGTGTCTCTGAGGACGATATCTATGACGGGTACTACATTCCGAAAGGATCATTGATCATGCCTAACATCTGGTTGGTGCTCGCATGTCTCTGGATTCAACATGATATAATTGCATCCCAGGTTCATGCTCAATGACCCGCAGACATATGCTAACCCTTCGCAATTCAACCCTGAACGCTTCCTAGACAATGACGGAAAGGATCCCGAACGCGAGCCTCGCACGATCTGCTTCGGCTTTGGTAGACGGTACGCATAGAGTTAATTTGG